AAATGGTCGACTGCAGGATACAAGTCCTTCTTCCAGCACCCGAAAAACAGAACACATTTGCTTTAGTCCACAAAGCACGATTAGTTTTAAATTAATTAAGTCATGGACATTTGGTTTAAAAGTTGTTAATCAAATATTCTTAATTTATCTTCCGGCATGTACATTTTTGGTTTGTATAAACGAATGTTAATGTCATAATCCAACTACGTTTGTTACGTCTATACTTTCGCGGACCATCGGACTTGGGCGTATGGAGGCATCGCACTTAAGCGCAGACCATCGCACTTTAGCGTGACAATCGTACTTTAGCGTCCCCATCGCACTTTAGAGTCCTACATATATATATACAAGTCTAAATTGAAAACAACGTTCAAACCTATGATTGCGTTGGATAAAAACCGCAATTTTTATACGTGTGCATGCAAAACAAATTTCTTGGTAGAGGTGTCTAAATACAGCACAAACAACATTTTCCAAAAGACCAAATGAGTGAAAAAGTATATTTGTACAAAACGCATTTGACTAGCAGGTCGAACAACTGATGTTCTTAAACCCTGCTGACTGCCATTGGCGATTGCCAAATAAATGTATCACAAGATGTAGCAAAATAGATCTTATTATTAATTTATTACCAAACAGAAAACAATAAACTTGCGGAAAAGATGGTATACCGCAAACATGAGGTGCAAAAATTTGTACACAATATCTGGATTTCGACAATTAATGTCTCCTCAGTGATTTTAGGAATCGAAACGGTATTTGGAAGGCCATATAATTTACCTCAATTTAGGATAGACTCTTAAATATTGAAAGAGTCAAAATAGGATGAACGGATCATATAAACCCGAAGGCAAATATAATACAAGCCCAAACGAAAAAATATAAACAAGTCTGAATTGAAAACAACGTTCAAACCTATGATTGCGTTGGATTTCGACAATTAATGTCTCCTCAGTGATGTTAGGAATCGAAACGGTATTTGGAAGGCCATATAATTTACCTCAATTTAGGATAGACTCTTAAATTTTGAAAGAGTCAAAATAGCATGAACGGATCATATAAACCCGAAGGCAAATATAATACAAGCCCAAACGAAAAAATATAAACAAGTCTGAATTGAAAACAACGTTCAAACCTATGATTGCGTTGGATAAAAACCGCAATTTTTATACTGTGCATGCAAAACAAATTTCTTGGTAGAGGTGTCTAAATACAGCACAAACAACATTTTCCAAAAGACCAAATGAGTGAAAAAGTATATTTTAACAAAACGCATTTGACTAGCAGGTCGAACAACTGATGTTCTTAAACGCTGCTGACATATATGTAGGACGCTGAATTGCAATGGTCACACTGAATTGCGATGGTCTGCGCCGAAGTGCGATGGTCCTTTCGCTGATGTGCGATGGTCTATTAGACCTGAGATTACTAGTTTAAGATCTACAGATGTCCAATTATTATGAGAGTTTGAATTTTTTTTTATAGTTAGTATATATAAATATAACAAATTCAATATTTTCTCCAGTTGCAGAAAAAAACCATCTACCGAGTGATCTATCTAATTTCTTATGCTCATTCACAACAGCCGTATAGATGTTTCGCTTATTTTGTTTCGTTCTTACTAATCAAGAAGTATTTGTACTTAAAACAACTTCCACGTTTTTCAGTCATTGCAATTAGTACTGGTTAATTGTAAAGGAAAAAACCTCATGTAGTTTCTATTGTGGTCAATTTCTGAATGATTGTATGAACGACTGTTTTTGTTTTTGTCTAATCTATTTACTAAGTTCACTACAACGTTACAGTTAGGACTGGAAATGCAATGACTATTTACCATGACTGTTTTAAATTAAACAGGGATACCCTTTATGTTTTCCTTAAAGAAAAATTGAAAAACTACTTTTGACAAACAAATTGAAATCTACATTGGCATATAAACATGAAAAATATAGATTATGTAGTCCATTGCACCCCAGCGTTACCACCATCGTACTTCGGCGTAGCAAACAACAAGATAGTGTCACAATTCTACCATCGCACTTCAGCGTGAAAACATCGCATTTCAGCGTGACCATCGCGGTTCGGAGTACCATTGCGGTTCAGATTCCAACATATTTTCCTTTTAAATAATTTAAAGCGTTGCCAGATTTATTTGTGTAAATAAAAGGAGATGTAAGGTTTTATAAATAAGACCGCAACCAAATTAACGCCAACGCTAAACAAGGTCAAAGCTCTCTTTTCTTCAATGGATACAAGTCTTTACAATATTTCAAGCTCTAAATTTAAAAAAAATAGATAATTGTGGATAATTTTACAAAGACTTCCAAAATATGCAATCAACACAAAATCCTTTAAATAGCAAAATTAAAATACACAAATTTAGGAGACCTTAAGGCAATGAACAGGAACGAACTCCGTTTGCTAACATCTGAGAAAACAATAGTCTAATCACAGCTTCATGTACATGTTTGTATTATAATGTTATGACAACAAATGGTATATAGTTGAACTTTGATCAATGCATGTGAATAGTGCTGGCTAATGTTCAAAACCATAGTTTTAGTAAATATGTATGCCATGGTCCAGAAAATTAGCCAGTAATATATTTTATAACATGAAAATAAGTAGATGTGGTATGATTACCAATGAGGTAAATTTCCACCACAGACAAAATGACGTAGATATTGCAAATTAACGTCAACCTACGGCATTTAACAATGAGAAAAAATCATATTACATTGCAAGCTATAAAAGGATCCGACATGACAAATTTAAATATAAACAATTTCAAACGACAAAACCAACGGCATGTCATTGATTTATGTACAAAACAATCATAAACGAAAAGGAAATATAATACACAACAACAAACGACAACCAATGAAATTCAGGCTCATGATTTTGGTACAGCCACACATCGAACTTGGCGGGATTAACCATGTTTGCGGGCGCCCAACCCACCCCTAACCTGGCGCAGTGGTGTTAAAGCGCAACATACATCAATAAAAGCATTATTCCTTTGCTTTTTGTGTTTTTGCTGTGCATGAACTGATTTTTTTTTGTCATGGATGGATACCCCATATCCTTTCTTTTCTATTATGTAAGAACTAATTGTAAAAACCAGTTGAAAAGGAGTTGACTCATCAGACTTAATGAGTCACACATGTATTCAATTTACTTCATAACATGCCATATACAGTTCTGGAATCGGCTCAAGTAAGATATAGGAGCAATTAGTTCCGGTATAATAAAGATTCAGTGGGATCTATAACTTTTGTGAGTTGGTTCATCGGAACAATTGATGAAAGATATTGATCACACTTTTCTCAAACACAAACAATCAAACAGAGAGTAAATAAATGACATGTCGCCTGAAAAATTCATTCATAAAAATTTTTTACCAAAATAAGTATAGGAAAAAACGCAAGTGATTTAAAAAATTAAGCTCTTTCCAGAGGATAAAAATCGCCACGCACAAAAAGAAAATGGTAACCCTTAAAATACTATATAGACCTTTCAAATGTTCTACTTCTTTTACCCCAATACAATATATATGAAGAGGAATATTCTGAATGAATGAAACTACAAATTAAAAAAGAACAATTTTCAATATAATAAGCTATAAAACGGCAAGCTTTTTAGAAAAGCTATTACTTGATATGTGTTTCGTGTCAATTCCGAACAAAATAAGTTTTCAAATAAAACACTCTCGCTCGCGGTGATTGAGTAAATATATATTTTTGTTATAAGAGGATATACTAAATCGAGTTGATATCAAGCGATATCCAATTCTCACTCTTTGTGAAACCTATAATTCCGGGAAGACTATGTCAATACTTAAATACTTGTTTTCGAAAGTATCGTAAGACATTTCCTAAGACATGATGTTTTATGACAGATTTTAGGAATAACTATAGTAAAATAACACCTTTAAAGCATGAAAAGGCTGAGAGTTGCAAAATAAATATGTTATCGATACAATTTTAAAAGAAGAACATTATTGACCAACCAGCTGAGATAATTTTAAGACATATATTTTGATGTCCCAACTTTACGACTAATTTAAGGATTTATCTTAAAATAAGACACTTTCAATTGGAAATATCATTTTAGAAACTTGAAACTTTTTCCCAAAGAGTTTTGTTGAGTTCAGCCCTTTTCAACTGATTTTTAAAGTTTGTTCTAATGTTGTTTCCCAAATTAGAGGATGGTTTTGCGCCAGTAAACATGTCTAACCCCGCCACATTCTTTATGTGCCTGTCCCAAACTATTAGCCTGTAGTTCTGTACTTGTCGTTGATTCATCTCTGTCATATTTGTTTTTCGTTAATTGTTTTGTTATATATTAGGCAGTTAGTTATCTTAGTTGAATTTTTTCATATTTTTCATGTCGAGGCCTTTTATAGCTGACTATACATTATGGGGTTTTCTAATTGTTGAAGGCCGTACAGTTGCCTATAATTGCTTACATCCACTTCATTTGAACTTTGGTGAATAGTTGTCTCATTAGCAAAAATACCACATCTCCTTATTTTTATATTGTACATAATTTTGAATGAAGATAAGTTTTCAAAATTGTGTAAAAGTAAGTGTTTTTAGTTTCGCCTGAAAGGAATAGATAATTTAACTTGAAAATTAAATTCATATGATGTTTAACGTGCACAGAAAGCTGGTTTAATACACCACTTGGAAAGTGTTTGTACCAATAACAGTTTACAGTGTTCTAACGATGTTTGAATTCTTAATTCTATTTGGATTGTACCGACCAAGAGGGATGGGGGACTCAGGGAGTTGCATGAACTCGAACCTGGGAAAGACCGGGAGCGTTGACAGGTTTAGGAAATCGATTTAAATTTTCATTTCTTTTATCCAATTGTATTGTCTTTTTTTCCAGTTATTTTGGTTTTATATCTTTAACGTTCTTGGCATTTAGTTATTTTCTATCCTGTATGGACATTTTTATAAATGCCATTAATTGGCATTTTTGTTTTATTTTCACAGATATTATTTCTGATTGTCCTGTTATTTCTCACGACAATAGAGTGTGATATTAAACCACGACCACTGCCAAAACAACTGAAATTATGTCTAAAAGACAGATTTGCTGAAGATCCTTCAGCAAGAGAAGAAGACATAAGCACATCCTGTATGTTAGAGTTCATGTGGTTACAAAAGGAAAATTGTGAGGTAGTTTCACCAGGAACAGTAGTGTGGCTTTCATCTTTGGTTAGAAAGTTCGCTTCGAGCTCAATAAGAAAGGACTCTACTAGACACAAGAGACAAACTACTGGTGGAACTCCTAGAAAAAGAAAAGAATATAGGATGTTAAGTGACAACGAACGACAGGAATATCACGATGCTATAAATCAACTCAAGAATGACAGGGTAAATATCCGTTGACTGAAAGTCGGTTTAACCCGCAAATTTTTGTTTCGAATTCATAGCGTGTCCATTTCTATTTGGAAACTTTTGGTTTTAATGCTGTAAAAGAAACGATCGAGACCTACAGTTAATTTGCGAATTTTCCTTAAAAACGCGAATAAAAGTGTGCACGTGATGGTTGAAATTATGAAGAAACAAAATGTTAACATCGCCAGAAAATCTGATGTTGAGGAAAGATCTTTAATAGTACCTGATTAATCTATTTGACAACTTTTTTTTTTTAGACTCGAAGAGATTAAAATCATGACGTATTGTATAGACACTGTATGCTGACAATATCTCTTGTGGTTTTCTGTGTCGTTGGGTTGCTGTCTCAATGACGTCGTCCATATTTTTTATGCATATCAATTGATTTTGATTACTATGTCAAACCTTTCAAGATAGTTATTTTTTAAATAAACTTAAATCTTCTGCTTTGAAGGAAAATGTTATGTAAATTCCATTCATTTTGATAATTAGAGAACGTATAAGGAATGTGTGTGTGGCTCAGCTTTTTACTACTTACAACTAGAATGTACTCCTCGATCTGCCATTCAAGATTCCTTTCAATTTCGTATTTAAATGAATAAATCGAGATGTGAGGTAAACTTCAATGAAACAGTAGTGAAACTTCATAAATTCTCTAAGTCTTCATCGGTAGACAAGTCCTCACATCGGATGCCAAGCTCTGGGCTAACCATTGTTCACATGTTTGATTTAAAATATCAAAGTAATCCAAATAGAGTTTTTTGGGGTCCAAGATGTAATTTGAATCTTCGTCAGAGGAAAAAAATCATAGCATATTTCATTCTATCTTTGAGGTCATATGCAATAGCTACTTAAGACCTCTCTATTTTCAAGGGTCAAACTAAATTCAAGGTATGACATAATTAGATTTGAATGTTTAGATTGTATTTTAAAAGACCATAAATCTTGATATTAAAATTTCTCTCGGCACATTTTGGTTTTGATGCGCCAATTATGGTTTCTGGATGAGCTGATCATTGTTAGTTCGAACATGAATTGTGCGTACTGAATTTGTATAAGACGTTATAAACACTATTGTTGAAAATGAAGTTTTTTTGTTAAATATTTAGGTCATGGGTGCTAACATTCATTTAGCTATCAATAATTTCAGACAAAAGGAACAGCATGAAAATCCATTAAGGGGAAGTTGCCTCGTATCATATAAGGAAATATATCTATTGAGATAATATGTTTTGTTGGTTAGTACAGAAACGTCAGCAGTTGTAGTATAATCTATTTTCGTTTCAGTCTTTGACTCCAAATAAATATGATGCCTTAGTAACATATCACCAGAACGCAAGTATAGGAGCTCATGGTGGACCAGCTTTCCTGGCATGGCATCGTTACTTTTTGGTTCTGTGAGTCTTGTATCTATACGGGCCTTTTATAGCTTACTATGTGGTATGGGTTTTGCTCATTATTGAAGGCCGTACGGTGAGCTGTTAACGTCATTTGGTCTCATTGGCAATCATGCCACATCTTCTTATTTTTATATTGTAAATGATATAATGTTGTGTATTCATATAACTCCGTTCAGAGTGTAAATATTAATCAAATTACTTTATTTACGAGATAAAAAGTGACAAAAACTAAATATGATTTATATCAGCATCTTTTAAAAATCACGGTTTAACAATTTTACTGCTGGTGAACACGTTAAACATTTGATACAAAACCGTTTTAAGTAACTTTTCTTCAATTCAAAAAGTGTCAAGTATTATTTCCATCTGTGCTTAAATTTTGTTACTTCCGATAATTTTGAGTAGTTTTATAAAAAAATATATAATGTGCTTCAAGAAACAACAATGTAAAAAATTCCAAAGTGAGCGAATAAAAATTAGATGGAAAATATATCCGTGCAATAAAAAAAAGACATATGGGAGAACAAATAATTAATGCCATTACAGAACTAACTTCACTTTTAATAGTGTATAATTACAAATAATAATTCAACAAACAAAGCGTTTTTAAGTTGTAGTAAGTAGAACATTTCTTTACTCACACTCGATAGGGTTTTTTTGATTGGATATATAAAACTGCTAACGATTTTGTAGCGATATCGAAAATCATGATCATTATCAGGATGTCATTTTTTTTTAAATGAAAAAAATATAAATTTTCAGAATTATACTTAATGGTTGTCTGTAACATGTTATTTGGCCTTTTCAGTTACGAGTTGGCCTTGCAAGAAAAAAATCCAAATGTAATGTTACCGTATTGGGATTCAACATTAGATTCAGCAATGTCAGATTCAACCGATTCAGTTTTGTGGACACGGGAATTTGCAGGCAATGGGAGAGGCAATGTTGTTACTGGGCCTTTTGCTGGGTGGGAGTACAATAATAGTCCACTAACGCGATCAGTAGGTGCCGGAAGATTGATGGTTAGACGATCGACGAATAGACTTATAAGAACCAGAAGAAGCTACAGGTATTTCGTTTTACAACTTGAACAAGCCCATAACTGGGTTCATTCCTGGGTTGGCGGGAATATGAGGAGCATAGAACGGTCCCCAAGTGATCCAATGTTTTACATGCATCATGCTTTCATTGATTGTGTATGGGAACAATATCGAAATTTGCAGAATAAACGACGTCGACAAGGCAAAAGCTTTCAGGATCCGGAAGAATACCCTTTAGTTAGAGCGTTTGAAAGACCTTATCACAACAGGGAAACAGTTATGCAATTACCACTCCTTAGGAATCAGTCTCTAACGAATGGAGATGGATATTTAAACTTCTGGACAGATGAATACTACACTTATGCCCCACTTCCATGGTGTGGTAATATAAAACCTGACTGTGGGTCGAAATGGCTACGATGTGATCTCTTGTCGAAAACATGTGTATCGAAAGGATCGGTTGCTATAGAACCACAAATAACACCAGAGAGATTTTTTCGAGTAGCAGAAATTGTAGCACCAGAACCATCACAATCTTCAGCACCTAGAATAGACTTACGTCGCACTGTAAGATTATCCCATGATGCTTCAGTATCGTCTAAATCACCCGAACCCGTTGGAACTACAAACCTAACCGAATCATCTGAAGATGTAACGGAATGGGCTAAAAGTGTATCAAAGGAATCATTTTATCGTGTACTTGAGAGGATATCGCTATCAGATAGCAGTGTTCCGTCCCGGAGCGCACTTATTAATAACAGTCCAAGCAAATTTACACCCTCACAAAAGCGACACCCTGTAAAGCAAGCCTCATTTGAAATTATTGAAACAAAGCCAGTATCGGTGGCCAATATGACCATGGATGATTTTTACATACCTGAAGAGCAGAAACCATGCGCGGGATTACCAACACAAAATACATTTTTATGCGGCTGTAGAGCAAATACAGAATCATGGGTATTCATACCAGTACAGGTTGTTCATTTGCGACAAGGGGACATAATTTATGATTCTCATCCTGTTAATGCACAAGGAAATATAGTTGATGATGAAGACATATTTTCTTATGGTAAAAAACTTCCTTTTACACCAGGTTTACAAACTAAGTATAATTCAACAGAAAAACCGTGCTATCAAGATAAATCAGGACTAACCAAAGTAAAAATTGCAGCTTTTGGGATTACTTATAACGGAATGTATGAAGACCATGTATTTCTTGATAACAGACCATCAGTATCGAAAGCAGTTACTTATATAGCAGTCAAAAGACCAAGCTACAAGCCAATAAACACTTTTATTATAGCGTCAGATGAATGTGGAAAAGTTTGCCAGCCTATGATTATTGCAAAACAACATAAACATAGGTATCCTTTATATCGAAAGTTTACAGGTGCTGTCATGGTTACGTTAAAAAGGCCAGTGTATCACAGCAATACCTACCGCGGCGCAGAAGCCTTGGTTTGGAACAACAAGAAAATACCTTATCAAAACGAAAACCATATTCCAATTGTATTTTACTGTACTCATGGAAACGAAAAACCATGGTTTCAATAAAAAGATGAGTAATTGATAAAACTAATGGTTTAAACTTATGTTCAACATATATATCAAGACGATTTTAAATATGACACCTGATAATAGGGCACAGATTTTTCTTTATTTATCATGATGTGCCTTGAAAAACTAGCTAAGGTTGCTTCCCCTGACATATAAATTATTTGTGATTTTTTTCAGAAGTTTCTTTTTAGTAAAGTGTTCAAGGTATTAATTGTCAAAAATGACAACTACAACAACGACAACAAAACAAAACACACACAATCATTTTAAAAAATCAAAACGAACACTTCCATAACAAAAATTAAAATGCTTGATTATGCACTAAGTTAAACATTTTAAAATTGAATCGAAGAACTCGATACTGTGTTTAAGACAGCAACAGACTAATGACAGCGTATTAAAAAAACAGATTCTGATTTAAAAACAAAATCGATAAATAAAAAAGAAGGTTCATAATAGTATTGTTTACTGAGCAAATTACAGAGGTTCTTACTAAAACAGAATATTAATTTGTAAATACAGATTAATGATTTGATCAAGCGGATATCTTTGTTTTGTAAAGCATAATTTTAAGATGTTTTCACAGATTAATAATTGAATATAACTATAATAATAATGTAATATAATCTGAATTGGAATTAAAGCTTCAAATGGAGTCAAATAAAGCGTACGACATCTGTATGTTACTCCACATTTACTAATGCCTACCGTACAACGAAATCAGTATTTGATTTTCAATATTGACAACCTAACAAGTAAAAGCTTTTCTAAAAAGCTAGCCGATGAAATTTAAAATGTTTTTCAATGCAGAAAAGCATTTTATAGTGAATAACAAAAAATAAACGGCAAATACTAATTTTGAGATTTTGCAATTTCTTCTTTTTTTTGGGGGGGGGGGGGGGGGTGGAGGATTCACACGCATTTGTCTCTGATTTTTTCCATATATACCTCAATATAACATTAAGGTATATATGACATTTTGTTCTGAGATAAATGCCTGTGGGAAAATGTATAAACACCGAAAAAAGGGGGATAATTACTCAATCGTCTGCGTTTGTATCTTTTTATCGATTTTTTTTTTCAAAAAGATACGTTATTCATTAACTTTTTCCTATATCAGTTGTTTATTTCTTTGTGTTAGAAAACAATGGCCACTTTTGCCTGTATCTGTTGCATTCATAGTAGGTCTCGAAAAGTGTATAGAGTGTGAAACGTAGTAAAATTTAAACATTAGAGAACACAAAAACATCTTTCAAAAGATTTCTCACATCTTTTCAAAATGACCCGTAAAACTTATATTGAACTATCTTTTATCTGCCTTTTGTCATTCAAAACTAATTAAAACGAGAAGTGTTGAGATCTAGAAAAACTTAGCTTAAGCATTGACTTAATAAAGTAAATTTACTGGTCCCTGGTCACGATAGTCCCGATAAATCAACTCATCAACGTTCTAAGGCTATAGGAAAAAGAGTAAGTTGGACAAGTTAGGCCAAAATATTACTAGTATATCGAGCTTTAATTTCAAATTTTGATTGATGGCTGTTATAACAATGAAATTTATTTTAAACGGTAACTAGATTAGATATCATTCTTTGACGACACAGTTAGCATCAATTTCAATTTCCCAACAAACACAAAGAGAGCAGGCGAATTTCCATTCGTTTTCAGAACTGGAAACAGCGCTAGCGTACAGGTCAACAAAAAGATCTTGCAACATTATGCTTACAATACATGTTATAATAAATAAAATATCTGACTAAAAAAGTTAGTTTGTCGAATACTGCGCTTTATACCATCAAAGCCTAAATTTCGTTGAAATCCATAAGATTAGGAAAATTTTACCAAAGTCTGTTTTGAGGCCTTTTTTGGGTATACATTCCTACGTTACTTTCGAAGCGTTCAACAAAATTCTTTCTATTTCACTTTTTCGCATGATGGATTTGATATTGAGAGAAAAATAAGGCCTTTATCGTAGTCACCGTTCAAAGTCAAAAATGCTGAATTAACTTATAATTTTGTGGAAGAGCGTTTATATGTTGACATGTAGATGTCTATCTGTTTTATTATCATAGTGTTTGTATACATGATTTTAAATGCCTCTGGAAAACATCCATTTTCAAATAATCCAATGCCAACAGTATTTTTGTCTTTTATAGATGTACATCAATTTTCTTTCTTGTATTCGTCTTGCATGTTTAGTATAAATATTCAATAATTCTCCAAAACATGTACAAGACGTTTGTTTTTGACTCTGTTCATTGTTATCAGTTATATATATATACATCATTTTTTGCCATAATTTCTTTTAACATTTTTCACAATTATTCTATATAAGCTAGACTTGGGAGGGTTAAAGGCTAAAACATTTTGTAATGACATAATATGTCCATTGTAGAAGAATTTATAACTTGCAAGAGGCATGCGCTGTTCGAACTTTAGAAGTAAGCAGTTTTTTTGTGTCGATTAATTGGGTTGCTGTCTTAATTATTTATGTATACTTCACATCTCCTTTAAATCATATTTAGAAATTAAAATATGGTAACATGCACAAATAGTTGCTTTAATAGTCTGAGAGTCGTTTTTACTCGGATGGCCTCCTCAAGGTCATCCGAAGTAATACTATAGCAGTTTCTGAGTGTGCTTTTAACCACGCTTTACTGCGTTTAAACATGATAAATACGCTGACGTTATCGAGTGCAAAATGGAATTCTTTATCGCTTCGTATATCTATTAATATTATCAATGAAAATTTATGAAAATATGCATTTATTTGTAATCAACATGTTTAGTCTTGAGAATTTATATATATCAATTAAAAATCATGACTATCATAATAACGAACATGTACCTAGATAACATGGGTCATCTTAGTACCAACAATGCAAGCGGATGAATTTTAAGATTTATATGCATATGCATGTTCCTTGTATAACAATGTGACGGACGTAATAATTTAGAGTTATCTGCCTTTTGAATTATATCACTAGTTCTGTTATAGCATCGACCGGTCAGGTTTCACTTCTTATCAGCTTACATGTAACTGTTAACGCCAAACTATTACGGTTAACATGGGATTAATACATGAAAGTGAATGCATTTATTTTGTACAATAGTTCTTATAGAATAATTGTTTCAAAGACATTATTATGTGTGCGTCCGTATATTTAAGTAATCATTATCAGCCTATATATGTTTTTAAATTTAAATCCAGTTTCCAAGAGTTGTAGTATGTCACGACTTGTTTCAATGAAATTTATTTATCACTGAAATTACTCTTAGTTAGACTCAAATAATTCTGCGCCCTCTAGCAGCCTACAGCATATCCAGGTTAATATAGCAATCGGAAATCAGTAGGAGATCGGCGGAATTTAACGACTGACAGTATTCGGGTTACTCTTAATGATAAAACTACGAAGACAATATATACTCTCATCTCAATCATGATTGTAAATAATTATTATCTATTCATTAGTATATGATATACACAATACACAGAGCCCAATACATAGCTTGCTTATGATATCATTTTATAGAACTAATGTTTGATAACATAAATAAAATTATTTCAAGTAAATGTGAAGAAAACAGAAGTAAAGCACTTTCCTCTTACTTATTATGTGTTTGTCACATGCTTGTAAGGATCAGCAGGGACGGATCAAGAAATTTTTCAGGGTGTGTCACCAAAACGAACTTTCAAAATATTTCAAATATTTTAGTTGATATTAAGTTCGTTATAAATAGTTACAAAACAAATGGTAACACATGCTTTAAAAACTTTATTGACCGCCTCGTGGTTTTTTTGTAGCGTGCTCTCGAGTGCGGGAAGTTGAGGGTTCAAACCCCGGCCGGGTCGACCCAAAGACTTGGTAATACGCCTTTGCTGCTTCTCCGCTATAGGTACGCGACATTTAGGAGTAAGAGCATAGACATGCAGGTCGACTCAGAGTCGGAATAATGTCTCCGCGTAGGCTGACATGTCTACCTGTGGAAAAAACCGTGCGTGTAAAGAATCAGCGGCTCTTTTCACAAAAAATCTTAAGAGTAAAAATACTCGTAAGTCATACACATTTCAGTATAACTTACGATCAATTTTAATCGTAAGATTTTTTGTGAAAAGAGCCGCAGGTTTAGTGTGGCGGTTCAGTACAAAGCAGTGTTTATATTCTGATCATATCACATTATTATGATGCCCGAAAAGTGTAAACTATCATATCATCGTATAAATATATAATACACGTTCATCAGTGCTAATCCATTAAGTAATTTCTCACATATTGTTGCACGTAAAAACATTTCAGGAACATGATCTAACTATTTTAACGCTCACATTCAGGAATGGTCACTATCATGCATACAATTTAAGAATGACAATGATGCATTTGGGTGGTAAAAAAGATGCATTTCTTAATGCTTTCATTTGCTGACCTTGCATGGGCAATGTTTCTTTTGTATTTTGACAGAGAGAAAGCCCACTCTTCTCAACATCAAAAACAGTTTTAGGTTTTCGAGCATTGACATGCTAGGCCTATACTCTGGGGAGGGGGCATTTTCTATATAATATGTGGTAGGGATCGCTGTTATAGGTACATGTAACTGTTTTCTATTTCAATATACGGAATAGACTGAAAATGTGTTTTGTATGCGTGTGTGTGTTTGTGTTGAGGGTGATTCTAAAAGTGGAAAGCAAACAAAAACTTTTCTATAGTCAAAATATTATAGAAGTAAGTCAGTTTTGTCCCTTGAACCAACGCCCTTAATGTTTAACAGGCACTTAATTTCAATTTCTGACTTAAGATAAACCAAGATAAATTCCAATAGACTGAATTTTGAATATCGTAAATAGTCAATAGATGTCTATGCATGTTAATCCTTTATGTAAGATTGCTTGCTGACCCGTTGACTTTTAACTAATTATCTCCTTATTCATATACAAGTATTAAATATAAGTATTTAGTATTATAGAAGGTTTGGCTCCTACCCCCTCCCCTTATGAACAC